TTCATGTTTATAATCTTAGTGTTTTACATGTTTTTGAGGCTTATATAACTTATATGCATGTTTAAAGTTTAGATCTAGAAATAATTTTTATTTTAATTAAATGATGATTTAATTTCATAGTGGAAGCATGCTTAGATTTAATTAAGATTATGATTTTTGGAGAGCCCGTGACTTGTAGTTCATCATATATTATTTTCGAAATTTTTGGATGACTTTTGAAATCTAGAGATTTTAAATTAATTAAGTTAATTAAAAATTAATTTAGTGTTTTAGTTATGCTTAATTAGACTTTTGATTTGATATTTGAGTTATTCATGGTATGTTGCTTATTATGTGTTAATTTCATGTCATTTGATGATATTTTGCTATCTAGAGAAATTAATTAATTTTTATTTAATTAATTTCCATTTAATGAAATTATGATTTATTTACACCTTTAATGTTTTCAAGGCCTATTATGTTACATGCCATGGTACTTGAAGACCTAGGGCATGTCTTGTGTGTTTCCACAATTTGATTGTGTATGATATTTGATTTTGTGCATTTAGTATATGTGTATATGCTTGTTGTGCACAAATTTGTTGATTTTGGAAACTTAGGATGTAGTAAGAATGACCATGGCTAGGGCATGGCTCTAGTACGGGGGACAAAAGGAGCCCTCTATCTTATAGTGCGCACTTAGCGGCAAGCACTCACGGGCTAGGGGTGAGCAAATAATTCGTCAATCCGGTACGAACCAATCTGATCCGTGTGGTTTGGTTCGGTTTTCAGAGCTCATGGTTCGGTGATGGTTTGAAAAATCTGCAATCCGGTATTCGCGGTTCGGTTAACGGATTGGGTCATGAAAAATTCGATCCGAATCGTTAACCGATCCGAACAGAACCGTTGCAAATCCGAACCGTTAAGATATACCGAACCGAACCGTTATTGAATAATATATTAATATATTATATATATATACAATATACCGTATTGGCGTATTTCTTTTTTTTTTTTTCCTTTATTCATTATTCTTTTAATGTTTACCTAACCCTAACTCAGCCTCGCCTCTTCATTAGAATCATTACTCCAAACTCATTTCAGCCGCGCCTCCGTCACTAACTCAGTCTCTTCTCTTCACCCTCTTCAGTCTTCTCCTCTCACCTCTGTGAGTCTGTGACTTTTCGCCTCTCCCAATCTCTCGCCTCTCAATCCAACACCTCTCAACCATCGTTCACTAGATTTGAAGCAATGGCGACCTCTTCGACTGGATCTACCTCTTTTCCGGTGAGTTCACAAGATTTTTGCATGGATCGTCTTATTCTGCTCTTCTCTGAACGTTTTTTGCATGGATTTTCTTATTCTCCTCTTTTCTACTTCTTACAAATTGTTTTTTGTAATGGTTTTCCACTGATTGCATGCATAAAGTTATAAACTGTTGTTTGATTACCAGAAAAGGGTTGTATTTTATCTACATATTTTAACTTTTGTTTTGTATAGAAGTTCCTGTAATGGAGTATATAATATATATATATATATATATATATATATATATATATATATATATATATATTTGTTACTTTTAGATTTAAGTTACCAAATATGATTGCGACTTTTATTTCAGTATTTTTCTATGAATTTAACAACAAAAATATAAAATAAAAATAGTTTTGAAAGATATTTCGTAGAGTTTCACTTTACCTCTCTCTGTTTTCTCTCTTTGTTCTCTCTCTCCACCCCTCATCTATCTATATATATATATATATTTGTATATACAAACACATATTAAGCATTTTAAAAAACTGTCTTCCTATATATTAATTGCTTATTTACAAAAAAAAAAAAAAAAAGGAAGAGTTTGATTCATCTTTAGCCTTCTTCTCTAGAAGCTGAAGCATCGATTTTCAATTAAATTCGCATTAGAATGAAACAGAGCTTCGTACGAAGGTTTCTAGATCAAATCCATTCTGTTCTCTTAATTTATTGGTGTTAATGGGCCATAATTGAATGCTGATAATGGGCCTTAATTGAATGCTGATAATAGACCATAATCTATTGGGCTGTTTGAAAAGCCCAATCCGTGGAACCGATCCGATCCGATCCGTTACTTCACGGAACGGTTTGATTCGGATTGAAGGCCCCCACGGATCGGTTCGGTTTCAGTTTTAACCAATCCGTGGGGACCGGTTCGGCTTGGGATTTATCCCCAAACCGAACCGATCTGAACTGTGATCAGGCCTACCCACGGGCTAGTAACCCAAATGATGCTTGGTGCTGGTTCTATTCCGGCGTGATGTCCAAGTCTCCGCTTGTTTGATTTCACATTTCAATTCCAAGTTGTTTATTTTGTGAATTTATATTTCGTTATTTGGTATTTGATGTTTCAATGTTGTTTAATTGCTTATTTATTGTAGTTTATGATGTGGGTGTTCTAATATAGCTTAGGATGATCCCTTAGTCTCACCTTGGACATAGATGTTAGGTGGCATGAACCACATTGATTGATTTATTTCAGCTTAGAAAGACTTGGAAAACTTTAGGTTATACGCATGTTCATTTCCTACGAGTACTTGTTTACTCACCCTCGTTGTTGGGACATTTTTTAGGTAAAGAACCATGTTTTAGGGATGCACAACATCCTTGAACTTGGTTGTGGCTTGATGAGTTTGGCGTATTTCCTTACATGCACTTACTAGCATGATTTGCTTTATTTTGGGTTAAATATGTCAAAGTTTGTAATTTCTATTTGGGATATGTAATAAGTACCTAAATGCAACCTTTGGGACCTATTTGACATGTATGTGATGAGGCCTTTACTTTTATGCTATTTGACATTATGCTTAAAAATGATAAAAATTAAAAAATGCGAAGCTTTAGCATGTCAATTTCAGTTTGGATGGTGGGAATTGTGTTTTATCACTTTTCCTAGTGCTCTTTTATTATATGTGACGTGTGGCCAAGGGCCAAACGGTTCTTTGAATGCATCTATGATGTTTGACTTCACATTTCGCTTAAAAATGCCATTTTCCATGATTTTTGGGGTTTGAACATGTCATATTTTGCATATGGTATATTTTGAGGTCATGGACCATTGGGACACATTTTATTATGTATATTACGTTTGCGAGAATGTTTACTTTCCACAAACTATCATGATTGCATGTTATGGTTGATGGTAGGCTTCAAAATTTCCAATTTTTAGGCATTTTGAGGTTTATTAAGTCGGATTTTGCATTGGGCATATTTGGGAGTCACGGACCATTCCCGCACACCTTAAAACACTTATTATGCTTGCGTGCACAATCGTTTTAGTTCACAACTTCATATTTAGTCATTTGAACACTTAAAGCAAACTTGCATTTTGACATTTTTCTTCAAAACTGATCTCAAGGGTATTTTGGGCATTTCAAGTCAAAAATAAAATTTTCTTTCGACATGGTCAGCTTGGAAAAATTATTTTAAGGGGGGTTTCTTATTTGTGTTTTTCCAAAAAAGGTCGTTTTGGGGTCCAAAATCCCATTTCAAAATCTGATTTTCTGTGCAAAAGTAGAGGGCAGTAGCACCAAGGCGCCGCGTGCCCTGTGGCCCCCTTCGGCCGCTGCGACGCCATTTTTCGCCGGGCCTTTTCTTTCTCGTCCGGACTCCAAATTGGGTGAACTTTTTTTCGCTGTCTATCCAATGGTGTACTCAGTAGCACCCATAACTTTCTAAAAATTATGATTTTGCCTCTAGGGCTAAACTTGTCCGTTTTTAAAACTTTGCTTCCGCTTTTTGTTCTCTTTTAAGTTCCATGGCTTCATGGGAAGCTATGTTTGTGTCTTAAGGATGACGTACATCCCTTGAGACTTTGTTTGCATGTGAAATGACCATTTTGCCCTTGGGGGCATACTTGATCTATTTTAACCGTTTTGCTTCCGCATTTGTTTTCTTTTCACCGACTTTGTGTTTTGTTTTCGCTTCCGCATTCCGGATCCGTTATCAAATCAACTTTCGGGTCACATTTACTTATCCAGGTTTGTGAAAATTCGGAACGTCACATGTCCTTTCTTGCAGGAGGTCGTGAAAAAGAAGAAGATGAAGAATAGAGGGAGTTAAAAAGGGTGAGAGAGATATAAACAAACATGTTTACTGATGCATTAAGTTGGAAATAAGCAGCACCCACTCTCTTCTCTTCTCACTCACTCATCCATTCTCCACACAACTTCCTCTCTATTTATAGAGAGTTCCTACCCTAGGTTGGTGAAAAAGTAATACTAATCCTTGTTGGCAAGGAAAGCAACTATTTGGGATAAAGGAAAACATTCCTAAAGCAATACAACTCTACCCAACCCAATAAGAATTTGAGACATACATAACAAAGGATTTGGTTTCCAATATGCGTAGTATGTTACAAGGTGATTTTGCCACTATTAAAAAAGCCAATACCTACCCAAAGTAGAGATTGGAGAATGGTTAATTTCTTTTGGTATCATATACTTGGGGCTGCAAATAATCCGAGCCAGTTTAATCTCACGTCCATGAACGTAAACAAGTCGGGCCCAATGCTATTTGGGATTGGCTTTTTATTGAATGTGCTTAGAAATTGGGCTCAATCTTTGGCTCGTTTCCTTTATTACCAAGTTCAAGCCGAGCTTTGAACGAGTTAAGCTGGAGCTATTCATGAACAGCTCGGTACAATTGCAGCCATATTTACCATCACGTTGCTGTAGCTAGATTAGCATCTTTTGCTAGTTAACTCTGCTTATTTACACACTGATAATTTAACAGCAATCTGTTATAAAACAATATGGGCCTTGGCAAGTGAGAAATCCCTATGTTCTATGTAAGATAGGACACTCATTTTGTATTCTTCTCCCTTCATACTTCACCCATACCTGCACTTTTATTATCTAGCAATTTGCTTTTCCTAATAAGTTGCTTTTGATGTCCTTCCAGGTAATTGAACTTTTATAAGATTTTTTTATATTGCACATCTGCTCCTTGCTTCTGGAGTTTGATAAGATGTTTCTCTTTATCTCTAGAAATGATCCCCAGTGGTACAGCTGGACCAGAAAAGTCAGCTTTATATGATCATCGGCCTCTTCCATTGTGTGAGGATGATTATTTGCGAGTTTGTCGGATCCCACAAAGAAAGGTTGGTAAACATGTACTTCAATGGGTTGGTAAACATGTACTTCTATTTCTTGGTTTTTACCATTTGCTAATATGTTGTTATTATATTATTGTTGTACTATTTTATTATTATTACTATTATTATTGGTACTTTTTGCAGGGAGCAAATTTTAGGGATCTCCCAGGTATTGTTGTTGGGGCTGATAATGTTGTGAGAAGGGATTCGACGATGAAGCCAGAACCGATGCCATCTGGAAAGCTATGGGTAAGAGTAATAAAAATTGTTCTATTGCATTTCATTGCAATCTGCAAATGTAATTGTTGTTCCTAATTTTCTCTCTCCCTCTCTGAAACAAAAACAAAAACAAAAACACAAAGAAAAAAAGAAATTAATTATTATCATCATCTAATTTGTTTCCATATATTTTGAAGAATACTGAGTTTCAAGATTATCCAAATGTGAAGCAAACAGAAAAATTAATAGAAGTCTTCTTACTCAGAAGACTTGGGCAGTGAGAAGACTAGAGCTACTCCAATCAACGTTGGAGCCTAGATTTCTAAAGGGAAATTTGGGAAAAGCCTGAAGAATTGTTTATGAACTGATAATATTTAAAAATAATACTGATTTAAGACTGATTACAACTGATAAGAAGGTTGTTCCTTTCACAGTACAACCATTAATGATCTGACTTTTTCTAGATTGACTTTTAAGCTACCCACAAAACATTTAGAACAACTTTTACTATTCCCATCACATCTTCAGATTCCCATACAATAGTTACTACTTAATTTACTTTGACTAGACAAAGGGACTCTTGCTGGTAGTTCGATTCTTAGAGTAATTATATGCAAATTCGATTTGTGCGAGGATGGCTTCCCATTTCTTTGGGTCTCAGATTATTTTCCAAATTTTGTTTATTACCTCAGTTTGTCCATCCGTATGAGGTTGGTAGGAACTACTATACTGCAGCCCAGTTCGTAATTTTTTCCATAAGGCTCTCCAAAAATGTGACAAAAACTTGGAGTCTCTGCTCGTTTTGATTGTTTCCAATAAGTAGAGATTTGCAATATTTGATGCATCCATAGTCTTTTTTGCAGCAAATAGAATGAGTCATCTTAGAAAATTTGTCAACTACCACAAAATTAGAATCCATTCCCCTTTGAGTTCTAGGTAGCCCCAACACGAAATCTATGCTTACATTCTCCCATGGTGTTGTAGGTTCAGGCAGTGGTGTATAAAGATCGGTATTCCTTTGGATTCTTGACATGTTTGGCATTTATCAACAAACATGTACACATCACGCCTCATTTTGGGCCAAAAATTCTTCTGCTCAATCATGGCATATGTCTTGTCTCTTCCGAAATGTCCACCCAAGACCTATTCATGCAACACATGTTCCTTCTTGTCTAATAGTGCACGTACTCCAAATTGAACCAAAATAGGGTTCAATGTGATATAAATCTTTGAAAGATTCAAATATGTCAATGGTTGGAGATATAATATTCAGCACTATTGAAGCATTTGCCACTTTATTGCTAACTCCAAATTTATGGTTTAAAACAAAAGTGAATTGTTGGAGGAAAGGGGCATTACCCAGTGGCCTAGTTGGTAGACCGTCCAGCTCCCCAAGCAGATGTGCCCGTGTTCGAGTCCCCCCTCCCCCTAGTTTGCCAAGATAAAAAATAAAAATAAAAATAAAAAATTGTTGGAGGAAAGAAGCCCACTTTGCAGGCCTCTTATTCAACTTCTTTTGGCTACTGTTATGCTTCAAAGCTTTATGATTTGAGAACAAAACAAAGTTGCGATGAACCAAATAATGTTGTTTGTGCCTTGAAGGTTGAACAATTGCATAAAACTCTTGATCGTAGGTGTTGTATCTTCACCTTATAACACTTAATTTCTCATTGTATAATGCTATTGATCTTCCCTCTTAATTTAGAGCAGCTCCAATCCCAATTCCAGAAGCATCACATTTTACTTCAAAGCTTTTTTCAAAGTCTGGCATGCATTTAACGACACTGCCAAGGACAAGGGCTAAACATAACTTTTCTTTGACTTGTTCGAAGCTCTCTTCAGCTTTCTTTGTCCATTCAAACCTGCCTTTATTTAGACAATTAGTTACCGGAGCAATTATAGTGTTGAAATTCTATAATTGTTGGAATCATCATGCGTTATGTGGAACACATTTAGGAACAACGACCCGTGGATGCTAATCGTTGGAACCATTATGTGTTCTGTGGAACAAATTGGACCGGTGCATGCCACTTTTAGGACTGGTGCATGTGCTATCTATTTTGTAGAAAAGTTTAATGAAGAGAGGCATCATTCGCCGGTGCATAGATTGGTGCATGAGCTCCCTGTTCTATCCCAACAAAACTAGTGGACTTAAGGACCAATGTGTTGAAATATATAAATATTTTTATATAATTGTGGAACAAAATCTTCCACCAATCACCGTGATCCGGTCAATTCCTTCTAACTATAAATATTTCTATATAATGGTGGAGCAAAACCCTCCACCAATCACGGTGCCTCCTTTAAGTATTGTACACCTTCCATATATTCTTATATTTACCATGTCTATATATAGGCTCTTTGTATTTAAGCAATCAATAGATCTGAATAATAAAAATGTAGCCCTTGGTGGCACTTTGTCCATGGATGTAGGCCTTAGTGCCGAACCATGTATATGCCTGTGTTTTCTATATTTCTCTCTTCCCTTTTCCTATTTGTATTTCTTAGTTCCGCATCCATAATTTAACATGGTATCAGAGCCAAGTTGTTCTTGTAATCCTGTCTAGAATTTGAGGGGGAGTATTGGAATTATTATTATGGAGCATATTCTCCATGTCTTCACATTCCCTTCCCGGCGTTGTTACGTCTTTTCTCGGTGTTGTTCCGGCCATTTCCCAGCGTTGTTCCGACCATTTCCCAACTTAATTCCGGCCTTTCCCGGCTTAGTTTCGGCCTTTCCCCGGCGTAGTTCCTGCCATTTTTCCCGGCGAGTTCCAGTTTATTTTCCCCAGCAAGATCTAGTCAATTTATCCACTTAGTTCTGGGCACTTTCTCATCATCTTTTGAGGTGTTTATTTGGCAAGCTGGGCATTCATGATATTCATGCTCCAACTTGAGGGGGAATATTGAAATATATAAATATTTCTATATAATCGCATAGGAAAATCCTCCACCAATCACGGTGATCCGGTCAATTTCCTTATAACTATAAATATTTCTATATAACGGTGGAGCAAAATTCTCCACCAATCACGGTGCCTCTTTTGACTATTGTACACCTTCCATATATTCTTATAATTACCATGCCTATATAGAGGCTCTTTGTACTCAAGCAATAGATAGATCTGAATAACAAAAATGTAGTCCTTGGTGGCACTTTGTCCATGGATGTAGGCCTTAGTGCCGAACCATGTATATGCCTGTATTTTCCATATTTCTCTCTTCCCTTTTCCTATTTGTATTTCTTATTTCCACATCCAAATTTAACACAATGCAAGCCTAAAGTTAGACCAATGCAAGTGTACACTATCCAACTACGAACTTTGTCAATCTTCCAACTTCCTCAAAAGCGTTTTAACAATTGAAATATAACCTTTAAATGCAAACTGTTCTCACCAAAACTCATTTTACCTATTGCTGAAGTGTGTTCAATTTGTTGGTGCTTCAATCCTTAATAAATTGTTTTTTTGAATCTAGAAGCTCTTGGTAAATACTTGTTGACAACCATCTACTCTAACAGCCTAAGCTATTAGAGAGAGTGTAACTTTAATATTTAAATCCTCCAACGCGCCCCTTTCTTTTGGTCTAACACGTGTTTCAATTTTAATTATCGGGGTGACGGTCAGCTTCTAGCACAGGACCTTGTCTGCTCTATTACTATGTTGACAACCATCCACTCTAAAAGTTTAAGCTATTAGAGAGGGTGTAATTTAATATTTTAATTCTTTAACACACCCCCTCACGTATGGCCTTCTTTTAGCACATGTGTTTCAATTTTAAACTATTAGGGTGATGGTGAGGTTTGAACACAAAACCTTGCCTACTTTGATACCATGTCAACAACCATCTACAGTAAAAGATTAAAATGTATGAAGGATTTAAATATTAATATTACACCCTCTCTAATAGCTTAATATTTTGGAGTAGATGGTAGTTAACATGGTATCACAGCAGGTAAGGTCCTATGATCAAAGCTCACCATTGCCCTTATAGTTAAAATTGAAACATGTGTTGGACCAAAAGAAGGCCACGTGTGAGGGGCACGTTGAAGAATTAAAATTACACCCTCTCTACCAACTTAAGCTTTGGTGTAGATGGTTGTTAACAATACTCCAATAGAAAATTACAACCCAATCATAGCTTTGGTATAGATAGTTATATATATATATAACTTTTGTATGTTTCACGGGTTGATATCCTCTCTTGCCGTGTCATTAATTGAACATGCTGCCATGACAAACAAGATCCTATACCATAAATAAGAAACCAGCATCAGAATTTTAGCCTAAAGGCTAAATCTGACTCGTTGAACAGCTGATTCAAAATTTAGCTTTTCATTCAATCACTGCTAGACTTGTAAAGTTAAATGATGTTCAAAACTTAAAACTTGTCCTCAGAAGGATTATCTTTTCACAAAATTGCGAAAAAACTTGGAAATTGAAGGTATATTATCTGAAGGTTATGCCAATGATGTTAACTTAGAATTTTATCTTCTCTTCCAAATCGCTTGTGAGAATTAGGAAGAACATAATGGTGCGTTTAAAACAGTAAAACTAGTTTCACAGTTTTCTGTCCTAAAGTATTTTAATCTCTTGCAAGAAGAGCTGCTTTCAGTTTTTCTTTATTTTTTCAACTAGCTTCAGTTTGTTATTTTTTCCTTAATTTCATGTTACCATGTGAGTATCCACAGAATTATCCAGCATTCATAATATTTGCAATTAGCATGGTGTTTTTACTAGCATTTCTTTGTTCTGGTCATGTATAGGTACCTGATTATGCAATAAACTTTTCGGGTGGAAAGTCTACAAGGTGAGAATTTACTTTCCTGCAGCACATTAAGCTCTGTATCTTTTAAATTTTATATGTGATTTTTGTTCTTACAACAATACAGACCATTTGCCCGATTATGGTGGGATGAAACGGTGCCAACTGTGTTGTGTCGACCAGATCCTCACAGCCAGGTAGCCTTACAGCTGCATTCACTATTGTTAAAACACGTACAAAGGATTTTGTTGTTTGATATTTATTTTCTCCAGGCAATTTTACATCCTGAGCAAGACAGAGTCCTTACAATTCGTGAGTGCGCGAGGTTGCAAGGATTTCCTGATTATTATCAGTTTTGTGGGGATGTGAAGGAAAGGTATGTCTACATTTTCCTCTGCAAATCTGCATTTCATAATTTGTGGGTATTATTTCTTCCAGTAACGGTTTTTATTTCTTTTGTATAATGTTATGCAATTTTAATGTTTGTACTTTTACCTCCCAAAAAGAGTTCTGACATGAAAAAGGTGGACAGAAATTAATCACGCAAGCAGATGTTATAAATCTCAGAGAAAATTTAGTATGCATCCTTGTACCCAATTTCAGTTAATCAGCAAAAGCCTGACATAGAATTGTGAGGATCTCCATTATAATATATATTATATCCAGAAATAACGAACCGATTCTTTGACAATGCTCATACATGTATTTGACATGATTGGATTTGAACACATGTTTCTTGTACCTGATAACATACACTGGTTTTGTAGTATGTTTCACAAATTTTTGAAGAGGTCACATGTTGAAGTTCTTAAACCAGTTTGGTTTTCTGATTTTTTTTTTTTTTTTTTTTCCACTTTCCTGATAAGTAAACCCACTTTATAATATGACCTAAATTAGCATTTCTAGCAACATAATCTAAATTTGTTATATATTTATATAATGTACACATATAGATGTATAAATTATTTCCATATTACCAACTGTTTGTTTTCTTAGGTCCTCAATAACTCGACAAGTTATACCCAATATGCAACTGATGATCACTTTTATCAAAAACCTATATTCTTTCATTTATCTTTGTTTTTTTCTTTTCTTTTTCTTTTTCTCGATAGATGTATTCTTATTTTACTTAGCGGTTTGTTTTCTTATTGATTTTCAAAAGATATCGTTTTCATTTTGTGAAAATAGCTAATCAATAGTTGCAACTTGTATTTCTTGGTTGCTTTGCTGCGCTATTCTTCTTGGGTTGATCTTGTCCAGTGTCTGATATTGTAATGTTGTGTCTGAATATGGTTTCGGTCCAGCTCGCAAAATTGGTTTAGTACTCTCTTATAGCCTGGTATATAGTGGCGTCTAGGGTTTGGAGTGGGCAACGAGAGAATACTGAAAACTGCAGGAAAGATAGAGAGAGGGAGTTAGGGTTTGGGGGATAAAACTTGTAATCTCTTAATTTTCGCATATAGTGAAATCTTGTCAGATTTTCCCTATGGATGTAGGCTTTGTCGAACTACGTAAATATTTTGTGTTCTTTGTGCATGGCATGTTTACTTTTCTGTCATGATTCTTGGTTTGTTCTTGGTACGCGATGTTTGTCGTAGCGCCGAAGTATAGGACCGGTTGTCGGGCTTCTTGTTTTAGTCGAATTCACTTTGGTGTTTTCAATGAACTTCCTATTTGTTTTAAACATTTGAACTCCATTTTTGGACCTCTGCAGATACTGTCAAGTGGGGAATGCGGTGTCTGTTCCTGTTGCTCGTGCTCTAGGATATGCATTGGGAATGGCTGTGAGAAAGCTGAGTGGAGATGAACCTCTCATGACTCTCCCGCCCAAATTCTCCCATTCCACAACTATTCAGTTGTTGCAGTCTTCATCCAACGAAGCTTGATTGGCATTATTATTTTCAGAATCAGAAAAACTCATTTCCGGTGGACGTAGGAACATTGCTTAACCAAGTTAAATTCTTGTGTTCATAGTATATAAAGCATGCTAGGAATTAAGTCACATGAAGCGGAAGCGTGAGAGTAACAAAATCTAAAATTTGGTTAGAACGGGAGAAAATTTGGTTAGAACGGGAGTCTCTAGAGTGAAATATTCTCAATATTTGTATGATATGATTTGTGAAATAGTACAAATGTAATTTCATAAGCGTTAGAAAATGTGTTAAAGCTATAATTAACCTTATTTTTTCTATATTTAGACATACATAACATTAGTGATAATCTGTTTACTTAAAGACTTTAAATTTCATAATGAAATGAATAAAAGAATTATAAAATAATAAACGTCTTACCTAAAAATAAAGTAAAAATGAAAAGTATTTGAATAATTTGTTTACAAATATATGTGTTTATACACTATACAAACACATGTACTCTTTTTATACAAAAAAAAATAAAAATAAAAATGAAATTGAAACAAAAGTGATCAATTATAAAGCGAACGCAATACAACAACGATTTGTTATTTTATTTTATTTTTGTATTGTTTTTTTTTTTATTTAATAATTCAATTAATGATAAATTGTTATAAATTTGAGTATTCACAATTTGAATTCCTGAGTTGAGAAAATTGAATTCATGAATTATGGTAGCACCAAATATAGCCGATTACAACCCAAAGGCTCAAAAACATAGCATTTCAAATAAAGGCTACCAAGCCACAAGTATAAAAATAAACATCAACAATATATATTTCAGTCTAATGATGGACATTGACAACATACCTCTAGAAAGCCGAAGGGAATAAACATCCATTCAAATGACTTGCTGATCAACATAATCTAATGATAATTTCCCAAATAATAAAAAAAGCGCAGTTGTATAAATCCATATATATATATATATAACGTACCTTTGGACTTCACCTATTACGTATACAATCATGTGGACCTTCATTACACTTTTATTTCAGTGGTTCTCTTTGCTTTCTCTAATCTCCTCAACCATTGTTGTTTCTGCAAATTTATATAAAGCACCAAGCCACGGCATTTTCCGAGGACAATACCTACAAGAAGGTGGAAAAGAAGCACGAATACGGACACAAGCGAAAGCAAAAAAGTCGAATGACTTGAAGACCTTTTTCTACACCCAAACACTTGATCACTTCAATTACAGGCCTGATAACCACTTTCAAACAACAATATGTGATAAATTCCAAATACTGGGGGTGGCGCGAAGAAAAACGCGCCAATTTTCGTTTTTCTTGGTGAGGAGTCGCCCTTGAGTGATGAACCTGGTTTTCGTTTTCTAACTGATAATGCCCCTCGTTTTAAAGCTCTCTTAATCTATTTAGAGGTAGAGCACTAAATCCAAGACCTCTAGCTCTATAAATACACACACACACGCGCGCGGACCAATGTGTGCCCAATTTTTTTTTTTTTTTTTTAGTATTATAAACCAATATTTGAAATTTTTTTATACATATACCTATAAAATTATGCTATTATCCCTCCTAAAATTAGTAAAAAAAAATTCACATTGCCCGCCCTCCCCCTCACTTATGTTTCTGGGTCTGTCCCTGCATATATATATATATATATTTCATTGTTTGAACAAGTACTTACTTAAACTGCATTTCGTGTCTGTTTGCACATATATCAGCATCGGTTCTATGGAAAATCAATTCCATTCGGATCATTTGAAAAAGCGATGAAGAATGTTACTCTTCGCGGTTATTTTAATTTAGCTCAAGCATTAGCAGATTATGCAGAGATAATCGTACACCTCAAGGAGAAATTTCATGCACACTACTCTCCTGTTATCGTCTTTGGAGGATCCTATGGAGGAAGTAAGCAAGGAAACAACTATATATAATATTAATTAACCATTAATTACCCAATTATTTATATATATATATATATATATATATATATATATATATATCATTTAATTTTTTCTCGTAATTAATTCCTGTGCATATTATACTCGAAAATTTTCAGTGCTTACATCATGGTTTCGGCTACATTATCCCCACATTGCCCTGGGAGCTCTAGCCTCATCGGCACCAATTCTTTACACCTATAACATCAATCCACAAGGCCAGTATTATTCCATTGCCCCAAAGGATTTCAAGGTACAAATTAATTAAATTAACTATTAATTGTTTTTCCTTCCGAGTTAATTTGAGTCGTTCGATCAAGTGGGGCTTGCATGCATGTTGGTATATATAATTAAATACGTATTGCACAGACTGTTGTAGGACTGTTGTAGGATATCAGCGTGAGTTGTTATCAGACTATAAAAAAATCATGGTCTGAAATCGATAAAGTCGCTTATCAGCCTAATGGTCTTTCAATCCTTGGCGGGAGATTCAAAATTTGCAAGTAATTAATTAATTTATCTATATATATATATATATATTTCCAGTAATTAATTACATTACTTGTAGAAATATTTAATTTTCTTCACAAATTAAAAATGAATATTCAGGCCCTTAAACGGTTCCCAGTTGCTGAAGGACTACTTAGAAAAAATTTATGCCGATGCAGCTCAATATGATAATCTACCAACATATCCGGTTACTAAACTCTGTCGTGCCATTGATGGAGCATTTAAAGAAACCGATATTCTTGGCCAGATTTTTGCCGGTGTTGTCGCCATCAAAGGGAAAGAATCATGCTATGGTATGATGCCGGAGCTTGGTCAGACGGAACTAGGGTTTCAATGGCAAGTAAGTTGCATGCATGAAATATATATATATATATATATATATATATATATATATATATATATATATATTATAGTTAATTATCATAATATAATTGAAAATTTCTAAAACACTATTGCAAGTTTAGTACCCCAAGTTTCCCAAGACCTTACCTAATAAATGATTTAACGATTAAGATGACCCGGGATACAACACCCCAAATATTATATGGACTTCTCATAAAATTTGACCTTTGAATTAGTTTTCTAGAAACACTTCTCAAGGATTCAAACTGAAACATAAAAATTGTCTTTGAAAACTTACGAGACAAATTAATTTTTACACAAATTTATTTCTTCTTCTTAGTTTCAAACCAAACAGATCTTAAAATTTTATTCATATGAATTTTTGGTTGGTGTATTTTTAGTCATACAGTGAGTTGGTGGATCCCATTGATAATCGTATTGAGGACAACAATATGTTCCCACGAGTTAATAATTTCGATTTCAGCAACTTCACCAAGGACTGCATTAGCTATTATTGGGTCTCACCAAGACCAGATTGGGTCACAACCTATTATGGAGGCCATGAATGTACTTTTCATTTGTTTTCGGTTTTTTTTTTTTTCCCTCCAATTTCTTTATATTCATTTTAGTTATATACTAATTAATAACTTTTAAAGTTACAAAATGTTTTTCAATGGCTCATTGTAGGATATAAAATTGTATCTCAAAAGGTTTGGTAGCAATATCATTTTCTCCAATGGACTGAGAGATCCTCATAGTATTGGCGGGTATATATCCATCTAAAATATATATATATATATATATATATATATATATATATATATATATATATATATATTCTTTTTCATCCTTTGTAAATATATAAAATAAATTAAGCAATCTTGGTCTAGTTGACTTAATATACTTGTTTCCTCTGATCTCAGCGTATTGGAGGACGGGCGCAAATCCTCTGTTGTTTATAATCATGCAGTCCACATTCTTGAGGCGTTGCTTTGGTCACGTATTTTGTAGTTATAATATAAGAGGTGTGGTCCATTTTAACAATAGAAATGGTTTTTTCCGTTATCCTTAATAGAGAGAACTTTTTATTAAAAAAAGAAAAAAGAAATAATAATTGATGAGTCATCAACACAATCCTTAAACAAAACAAAAAGCTAAACTCATCAAACAAAACAAAAATCCATCTTCTGCCGTCCAAAGAACCCTAAACTCACAAAAAGCTTTTTTTGCCATCCAAAGAATCCTAAACTCAAGGAGCGACAAAACATTGAAATTGGAAGCTTTAGGGAAGAAAAAGGTCCAATTTCGTAACAAGTGTTGTTCAAATCTTTGTTTGATGTATCAGCTTCAGCAACCCACAAACCCTAAATTCAAGTAAGGGTTTCGAACAGAGAGTAACAAAACCATAAAGCAAGATTTTAGAAAAAAAGGTCCAAATTTGTAACAAGATTACAGGTGAGTCTCTAGTAGCATTGTCTATGTTTAATTTTATTTAATCAAATTTAATCAGATTTGATCTCCTGAGAATGTTACGAATTGGGTTGTTAAACTGGTGAGTTGTGTTATCTAGATGAGAATGTCAATGATATTGACTATAATTATGTTGGTTGGATTATTTAGTTTTGCTTGACAATATTTTAAACATAATTCATTATTTATTGGGTAAAGTACATTAAACCCCCTTGAACTATTGGTCATTTGCAAGAAACCCCCTCGAATTACAAAAAACCCCCCTGAACTATGATTTTGTTGTAATTTACCCCCTTGAACTATTGGTCATTTGCAAGAAACCCCCCTGAACTACAAAAAAACCCTCCTGAATTATGATTTTGTTGCAATTTACCCCCTTGAACTATGATTTTTTTGCAATTTACCCCCATTACATCAGCTTCCGGCACCGAAAATTTTGAAAGACCAGTTTACCCTTATAACACACTGCATCGTTTTAACTTATACACTTCTTACTTTTTTTTTTTTTTCTGCCAAAAGATATTTTTCACCCAACACAACCCAAAACTGAGAGCTGGAGAAAGAGAGAGAAGAGGAAATCCGAGGTTGGCGGGATGGCTCGGTCTCGGATGATGGTGGCTTGTGCGCGGAGGACTCGGCTGTGATGAGAGCTCGGTTGACTTGGCCGTGAACTGTGGAGGCGGCGATGAGTTCAAAGGGGCTCAGCGGTGAACTGTGGACGGCTGTGTGCTCGAAACACGGACGGTGGTGTGCTCGGCTATGGAGATGGCAGAATGGGCCGGCGAGATTGGAATGGACAGTGGAATGGACCGGCGAGCAAGGTGAGCTGAATGGCACTATTTAAGCTCACTTGCAGGTGCAGATTAATTAATTTAATCTCTCTCATGGTCCGGTTCAATTTTAATTTATTATTAAATTACATGTGATGTAATTAATTAATAGAGGTGGCACTGTAAAGGGCTAATCCAATAAGAATTGGTGTTCCCTATTGTCGAATAGGATTTATTTATTCTATATTGTTTAGAATTTTTTGTAAGCCCTAAATTGGGTATAGGACAAAGCCTTGTACTATATTTTACAAATTTAGGGTTAAAATTCTTGAGGAGTTCAAGAAAAGATTCAAACAAGATGAGAGTCAATGCTTCCAATGGAGG